GGATGTCATGTTTGGAAAGGTGGAGGGTCAGAGAAAAAGAGGAAGATCCCCAGGGAGATTGATTGGCCAAGTGGCAGCATCGATGGACTCAAGTATGGCAACAGTAGTAAGGTTGGCCCAGGGTCGGGCAGTGTTTCATTCTGCTGTGCTTAAGGTCGCTATGAGTTGGTACCGACTCGATGGCACCTAACAACAACAACAACAGCATGATCATTAACCTCATCTGGAACCTCAATAGTGATGGGAAGCCTTACCAAGTTTTTAAACTCTAGTCAGATCATACTTGTAATCACCAAAAGAATTTCAAACAATTCTCAGCCACCATGTCCATGTCATCTCCTGTCCATGATGTGCGTTCTACAAAACAATCTATAAACCTCTGTGCATTGGATTCCCAACTTGCCCGTTACAACTGCACCCTGCCCCTCTCCTTCCAGACCAGCATCTCCACAGGTATTGTGGCTCCTGCCCTCACACTGCCACCTTCTACCTGAGCATTGTCTTCTGCTCCTCCCTGTTTCATCTCATGCTTGCTGCTGGAAGCTTTTCCAGTATAGATTAGTCTAAATTCAAAGAGGCTTGTGACTTTAATTCTCTAAAAATTTGGATAATTAAAATATGTATTAAAGGAACCTATTAGGAAGTGTAAGCTATCTGCTTTTTAAGTATGCCAACCCATCTTCACCTGCATACCCCATTTGTTTATCTCATATGATTTCCATTTTATCTCTGTTGTAGCAAAATATTTCAGTTTCAAATAATGGTATCTTGAGAAAGGCTGGCCTTCCAGTGTTTTTGTTTAGTTTTGCTTAATCATGGACAATAAGCATTTCTTCTTCCTGGAAGTTTTGACTACTTCTTTATCTGCTTAACTACATTTCCCTTTGGAAGCTTTGTAGTGAAAAGAGAAGACACAAAATATAAGGTTAAAGAATGGTATGATGGGAATGCCAAAAACATCTCCATAGTTCAGGAAATCCTAGCATGATGGTTTGTTGTTTGTTTCTAACTTGAATGAGTTTTGTGAAAAAACCATACGAATTGTCTTTTTGTTCCAGTGGGTTATACAGGAAAGAAACCGGAAATCTTGATGAAAGCTTGGGCTTTACAGGATATTTGTGTATTTGCTGCATGTGTTTGATGTTTCTCTTTCCACATCTGCACACTTGATGCCTGCATTCTGGCTAAGATGGCTTAAAATACCACCGGGTCTTTTTTTTTCTGACTTTATTACAATTCTTGGTATGATGCTTTATATATGGGGGGAGCTCCAAATTAGGCAAGAATAAGAGAGCTGAGGCCCAGAAGGCACAGATCACTCACTGCCTCTGGATGTCGAGTCCCTTGTCATATAGCATGCAGATCAGACCAGGTAAGTGTCCCTAAAACTTTTCCACCAAAGTACCCCAACAGCCATGCAAATGAATAGTACCCTGCAGGGGGGATCTGGGGCATGGCCTAAAAAAAGCAGGCTCAGCAAGCTGGAATTTTCTTTGAAATGTCCTATTTTTTCTTAAAAATTCATGAGAACTTTGCATTTTACAAAACAGGAAAGTCTATGTTTGTTTTAATAGGAATGTTAACTCAATAGTAAAATTACTTTGCTTTCCCACAACCTCATCAAGCAAATGCAACACTCCAGCAGACATGAATATAGCTTCACCAGCACCCTGGCCCCTGTTCACCACTCCCAGGGATATGGACCCAGGTTGGTACGGCAAAGGCTAGGTGACAAGCATCTCAATCCCCTTCCATTATAACATCTGAAATGCTTCGTTTTAGAGAAAAGAAAGACAACGCGTTAGAAGCGCTGCCACTCTGTCATGGCATCCAATGGCATCCATGAATGGCATCCAAGAAGGAAGTCCTGGAAGGAGAGACCCCAGCTAGTCAGACAGGTCTGCAGGTAAATGGCAGTGTCAGAGTCAAAGAAGTCTCCACCCTTTAAAGGAGACGGATTGGGAAGGGACCTTAACAGTAGGTCCACCCTCCAAATACCCATTGTCCCCTCACAACACTCTCTGCAGATATTCCAACACCCTCATGCTGGGACCATTCCACATTTGGATAGTTCAGAAGGAAAGGTCAACTTGAAGGAAATCAAAACATTCTTCAAAGGACCATCCACACACAGGCCTGATGTGGTGCTATTGAATCAGCACTGGACTGTGAACCACAAGGTTGGGAATTCAAACCCATTAGCTGCTCCTTGGAAACCCTATATAGGGTCGCTATGAGTTGGAACTGACTCGGCAGCACATAACAACATGGCCACTACTGGAGTCCTGGTGTGGCACTGTAGGATACACACTGGACTGTTAACTGCAAGGTCGGAGGTTCAAATCCATCAGTCACTCTTCGGAAACCCTATACAGGGTTACTATAAGCTGGAACCAACTTAACACCAACAGTAAGGATCCAGCTCAGGTTCTGGTTCTACCACCCCTTAACTGTGTGGGGGACCTCTGGTCAGTGACTTAAACAAATGTGCTTCCATTTTTACAATGAAAAAGAGGACTAAGAATCACACCCTTCACAATACGACTGTAAAGCTGGGAAATGGCTGAGTAATGCATGGAGAACAGTGCCTGGCCCAGGGTTGTGTTGTTGTTAGGTGTCGACTTGCAGTGACTCTCAGCCCTTTGCTACCCTCTCATTTCTCAAACTTCCAGCTCTTCAGGTCTTTACTACACAGACTGAGTATGAGACTTCCTCTAGGACAGACCTGGAGCTTAAAAACAGACAGGTACGGAATTTCCCTTAGTCCTGTCTTCTAGCAAAACACCTTTATTACTTAAACATTCCCCATATGTCATAGTTCCAGACCTTTCTAAAATATCTTCTTGGAAGATATTTAGGTATGTCAGTGTCCTAGTTAAAACGTGGTGGCCAGAACTATGTTATTCATTATATGACCTGGTATGGAAACAGTGCCCTGTGACTATGAGATCACTTCGCCTGTCCCATTGCCAAGGCCCTTACTTCCCTCACCTTTTTCCTTTTTCTTACCGTTCCAGGCTACTCCGGTCCCCTTACTTTGGCTGTTGAGTCTCTAAAACAGAGCATATATTTTTCCTCTGCAACCTTAATTGAATTTTCTTATTTTCAGCCAATCTTTCCAGTCTCTTATTCTACACATCAACTCCGGGTATAAACTCTGCACAAGCAGAAATGTTAGTTGTTACAATGTATGAATTCGTTTTTCATGTGGGACCTAGTTACTAGAGGATTAAGAACAGAAAGCACTCATGGTGCATTGGTATAACATATTCCACAAACACAATGTTCTAATTCCTACTTTGGTGAGCAGGAGCTGGGATCTTAAAAGCTCATGAACTACTGGTCTCTCCATGTTTGTAAGAAAGAAGAGTGATGAAAATTGAAGATGCTTGGAATCAACTAATCCAATAGACCAGTAGACATGTGCACATTAGTTTCCACGACTCTGAGACAGTAAGAGCTAGATGGTGTCCAGTTACCACGGCCAATTGCTCTGAAAGGGATCACATTGGAAGCACCCGGATAGAGTGGGGAGAAAATGTGGAACAAAACTCAAAATTAAAAAGAAAAAGAAAAAAGGCCTGGCTTACTGATCAGAAAGAGACCTGGAGGAAGCCAAGGTTATACCTTCAACCACTTTTCAGGTCTGGAGTGGAACTCACCTTTGTGGCTCAATTTTCAGCCAAGCAGTAGACAAAGTATATAGGGGTTCAACAACACTAGTTAGAAGATTGGAGAAAGAGGGCAGGAGGGCAAACAGACCCACAGGGAGAAAGCGTTAGGATGACTGTTGTTACATGGAGGGGACTGCAATCCTTGAGATGAAACATAATGTAGGAATTCTTAAATATAAAACTGATGATCTCTGTAAACAATAACTCAATTCACAATAAAAAGTTTCAAAATGAAGACTTATAGCTTCAGAATGAGTTGGAATCAACTCAATGGCAGTGGATTTGGGTTTAACTTGAGTGACTAAATTAAAGATTATTCCAAATGGTAAGAAACCAAGGCAAGCGAATTAGGCAAAATGAGTAAATATTTCATAGCCACCTGAGAAATTCTGAAAATAAGCAGGGTTATATGGTTATTCTTAATCCAAATTCTGTATACGAAGTCCTGTAAATCTCAGTCCTAGCCTACCACTTATTCCCTCTCTCTTTCTACAATTAGAACCTTCCTTCCAATTCCCATTTTTCTCCTCAAACACTACAAAATGGTCACTATCTCAGAAGCTTTGAATTTGCTGTTACCGCAGCCTGGAACACTGACCCTCCGGAGATATCATGCTAGACTTTGTCTGAGACCATCAGTGGGCTTCCCTGGCCACTTAATAACTAAATTCAAAATCCACTGAGTTGATTTGGACTCATAGCAACCCTGTATGATGGAGGAGAGAACTGCTTCCAGAAGTTTCTGCAACTGCACATCTTTATGGGAGCAGACTGCCGTATCCTTCTTCCACAGAGCAGCTGGTGGACTCCAACCACCACCTGTTCAGCTACCAGTCGAATGCTTAACCCATGGTGCCACCAGGGCTGGTCATTAAATCTTTTAGCAAAGCTTATGATGGTGACCGCCCTCCTTATTTCTTCATAAATCACTTTGAAGTGACTTCATTTTGTATTCATATCTGGTGGTCGACTGAAATGTAAGCTCTGTACAAGAAGAGCCCTCGTCTGTCCAGTTTACAGCTGCCCCCAGAGTCGAAAACACAACCCTGGCATATAGTAGGTATTCACACAACGGATCCAGAGAGGGAAAAAGGCGAACCGGTGCTATGACAGCAATAGAAGAACTCGAGATTAACGTGAAGCAGATTTCACGGAACACGTAAAATACCCTGTTATTGGATTTTAGGGAAACAAACCATATTTTAATCTTTCAAATATGGTGGTAACACATCCTCTTTTTAAAAAAGTCACTATGCAGAGATTTTACAATATAAAGAGATTTTTAAAAGTGACTAGCTATGTGTTAGAAAAACAATGAAGACCAACCTGCTGGTCGTATCTTTTTTTGACATCTTCCAGCTGCCACAGAAAGTCTTTTGATTGTTTCTCACGAAGAGACTTGGATCTACTTAGATCTGCTTCCACTTTTTCCATCTACAAAGTCAGAAAAACAAGTATTGAAATTTGAAAAACAATAACATGATTATTTCATCATTTAGTAATTGGTCCTATCAGAAAGATTTTAATTACCTCACCAATCAAAATGATGAATTTGAAGGTGATAAATCATAAAAAATGCATGTGAATCTACTTTTCATAGTTTAAGGCAGAAAAAGTAAAAGTGACATATAATTGACTAAATTATAATGTCATAACTATAATATGGAGTTCCGGTGTCATGTGTGGGTTAATGCGCTAGACTGCAAAGGTGGTTTGAACAGCAAAGTAGGCCTTTCAAACTCACCAACTGCTCTTTGGAAACCCTACACAGGGTCGCTACGGATGAGAACCGCACTTAACAACTATTATGTAACAGAAATACAATTTTAGACATATATTTATTCAACAAGATTCTACCAAGTTTTTGGTATGGGCAAGATACACATGCTGAGTAGGAGAAAATATCTAAAACTGGTTTATTTGATAAGAGCCTTGTACCTCACATGTATAAAGAACACGTGCTGTTGTTGGTAAGTACATGAGTGGTTCCAAATCATAGAGACCCTATATAGGGTTTCTTAGGAGCAACCTGTAGGTTTGAACTACTGACCTCATGGTTAACAGTCCAGTGTTTATCCTACAACACGACACCAGGACTCCAAAGGACTCTTATAACTCAGTAATAAATGGGCAATTAAACCCAATTGCCATAAAAGATTTGAATTTAGTCAGTCCCAGGCTCTAAATGAGATGTGTTCCTAACTGTTTCTTTAAGGATATGTCAGGGATTTGAACTGGGTCTGCCCCATTCAGTCGTGGCTGAGGAAACCTCACTGGAACAGACCGAGATTTTGTAAGCGACAGTGAACCATAGAGAACTGAAAAATTATGGGTCTAAACCTAGAAATTTAATATCCGTCTTGCAGAAGAACAGTAGCATTCACATTACATAGCAAACAAATCTCTTGCCCTCAGATTTGGAACAAAGTCTGAGGAAGTGTTGCTCCACTCAAAGATGGCAGCACCCACTCAAAGATGGCGGCTGACCTTGCAACTTTGAATGTATGCTGCTCTCCTACAGTCCCAACATGAATTCAGTCTCATGAACCAACCCTGAAAGGATTCAGTAGATCTTTTCTAAGTCTCCCATTCCAGGGTTTTTAGCAGCAATTTTTTCCATTCTGGGTATCATGCTGAAGATACCAAACTGTAAAACTTCAACTGTCTTCTTGTTTTGCTTTGCCAGCCATGATATAACCAGTTTAAAGCACAAGTTGGCTATTTGTAACTTAGGAACTGCTTGTATAAACTTCTGTGAAGAAGATACAGAAATGGTCAAAACACATATGAGAAGATGCTCAACATCATCAATCATCAGGGAAATGTATATTAAAGTCACAATTAGATACCACTTCATACTCACTGGGTGGACAACACTCAGACAGACAGATAATGACAAGTGTTGATGATGACGTAAAGGAAACACAACTCTCATATATACCAGAGGGGCAAATGTAAACTGCTGTAGCCACTAGGGAAAATAATTTGGTAAAAAAAATTTCAACAAAGCTAAACATAAGAGTTACCATTGTTGCTGCTGTTATGTGCCGTGGAGTCGGTTCCGACTCATAGCGACCCTGTACAGGATTTCCGAGGCTGTAAATCTTTACAGGAGCAGAAAGCCTCATCTTTCTCCTGCGGAACAGCTGGTAGTTTTGAACCGCTGCAGACCCTGAGGTTAGCAGCCCGTTTCGTAACGACTACGCTACCAGAGCTCCATAAGAGATACCATATGACCCAGTAATTTCATTCCTACATATATTCCTAATTGAAAAACTGTTGTTGTTGTTGTTGTTATACAGTGCCACTGAGTTCTGACTCACAAGTACATTGTATAGAGTATCTGAGGAGTGGCTAGTGGGTTTGAGCCTCCAGGCTTTTGGTTAACAGTTTAGCTCTTACCCTACAGTAACATACCAGGACTCCAAGTGAAAAACTACATCCATATAAAACCATGCACACAAAAGTTTATAGCAACATTATTCATAATAGCTCCAAATAAGGAAACAACTCAGATATCCATCAAATGATGAACGCATAAACAAATATGGCAAATGAAAGCTGTTATGTCATGTGACTTCTCCTCTGAAATGTAACCCCATGTCCCCTAATTTAGCTCAACTTTGTAGCATAGCCAATGGCACAATAAATACTAATCAGTAGGGGAAGGGGAGGCAGCATGTACCCAATGTGTTCAAGATTTGCTGAATGAATAACTTTTAACAATGAATAGTGTCATTTTACTTAATGGTTGTTGGGATTAGATGTCGTCGAGTTGGTTGCACAACAGAATGCAACACTGCCTGGTCCTCTGCCAGCCTCACAATTGCTACATGTGAGGTCGTTCTTGCTGCCACTGGGTCAACATGCCTTTGTGGGGTCTTCCTTTTTTTTTAACTGACCCTCCAACTTATCAAGCTGGTGTTCCTTTCCAGGGACTGGTTCCTCCTGACAACATGCCCAAAGTACAAGAAAAAAAGTCCCCCATCCTGACTTCTAAAGAACATTCTGGCTGTATTTCTTCTAATATAAATTTATTTGTTCTTCTGGCAGTCCATGGTACTTTCACTATTCTCCTCCAACACCATAACACAAAGGCATCCATTCTTCTACGGTCTTCTTCATTCACTGTCCAGCTTTCACATGCATATGAAGTTATTGAAACTGCCATGGCTTGGGTCAGGCACACCTTAGTCCTCAAACTGTTATCTTTGTTCTTAAACACTTTAAAGAGGCCTTTTGCAGGAGATCTGCCTAATGCAATGTAGCATTTGATTTCTTGACTTTCATGAGTGTTGACTGTGGATCTAAGTGTAAAGAAGTCTTAGACATATTTAATAGTTTCTCCGTTTCTTATGATGTGATTTATTGATCCAGCTGTGAGGATTTTTGTTTTCTTTATATTGAGGTGCAATCCATACTGAGGCTGTAGCTCTTGATCTTCATCAGGAAGTATTTCAAGTTCTTTTTCCTTCCAGTAAGCAAAATTGTATCATCTGCACACATCAGGCTGTTAATAAGTCTTCCTCCAATCCTGATGCCACATTCTGCTTCATATAACCCAGCTTCCTGGAATATGTACTCAACAGACTGCATGTATCTGGTGAAAGGATACAACCCTATTGTACACCTTTCCTGCTTTTAAACCATTCAGTATGTCCTTGTTCTGTTTGAATGATTGCCACATGGTCGATGTACATATTCCTCATGAGTGTAACTACATGATTCCTAACTCATCCAAAATATAAACATCTATGGAATTATGGCATAAATAAAAGAGTTGAATCTAACTTGTACCATCTAGACAATTAGATGACATATTGTTGTTTTTGCTTTCATCAAAATCTCTTTTAAGTGTGACAGAAAATTGATACAGTAATGGGGAAATGTCTTCATATAAGTAACATGAAAATGGTGCTTTTCATTCAGTGTAGTGCAGTACTGAATTTGTCTTTCCACCCACGGACTGTACCTTTCTGAGGCATTTGTCCATTAATGCGACACCAGTTCTGTCACTGACTACTTTATACTGCTGATTATCCTGCTTCACTGAAGTGGTGAGATATTTCTTCTTTTCAACTTGTACACAATGCCCTCTTCCAGGTTACCTTTCAATAAGCCTAAGATTAGTTAAAACAAGAATATTTGGGGGAAGTGAACTGTGAAAAATGCTTCCTTCACAGTTTCAGGTTAAATTTGAAAAAAAAAAAAATTTCAAATGTATTTATTCAGACATGATTAAACTTTCAGATTCTGAGAGCAAAGACATTCAGTGAAAAGCTGCCAGCGTCACAGAAGGATAAGAACCAAACACATTACCACTCACTGCTGCCTGTTGTCTAAGGCGGTCTCACAATCGCTGGTTCTGGCTCTGACAGCTGAAGTATCTAGATTATGGCAGGACACTTAGCACCCAAGTATCTCTCTGTAAATATCAACATCCAAATCCAACCATCAGAGTGATAAGATTGTTGTTCCATAACATCAGTATTTTGGCCCAAAGCAAATTTACTAAAGGAAGCATGGTGAAGTCTTATTTTCTTTCTAACTCAACTTAGCCTTCATGGGGAAATAATAATTTTTCTTCATTAAAAAAAAAAAAAAAAAGTTATATTCCTCTCTTTGACCTTGGAAAAAGAAAACTGGATAGGTATTTTACAACAGGAAGACAAAAACAGCTTTAATGAAAAAAAAGTCTTAAAAATCTAGGATGAAGTAATCTGATATCCTGAACTATTGGAACTACAATTAACAAAACAAGGAAACTACACAGAGAACAGACAAGACACTCTCGTGGTGGTTGTTGTCAATGTTAAATGCTGTTGGGTCAACATCGACTCATACCAACCCAGTTTCCATGGAGTAGCTAGCTGGTGGGTTTGAACTGCTGACTTCATGACTACCAGACCAATGCCTACAGCGCTGCATCAGAACTCCAATATGATACTCTAGAATACGAGAAGTTTGCTGATGGCTCTCAAATCTCAATGTAGCCAGAACCTCATAGTCAAGGTCTAGTCTTTGACTTCCAACCACAGAGGGAACTTCTGCCCACTCCTTCCCTCTAATAGTGACCTTTCTCTTCCTCCACCCCAGCACACACCACCTCCACATCCACTCCATTTCCTCCATCCCACTCTCCATGCCACCCATTTAGGGGATACTCCACCGGTCCCTGCAGCAGCAGCCTTCCCTTCTCCCTACCTCAGTACAGACCATGGTCACTTCCACTTCACTTTCATGATCTCCTCTTAGCTCTTGGTACTGGATGACGGCTCCGCTAGCATCCAACTACCTAGACAGGGATCCGTCAGTCTCTCATTATCTACAGCCAACACCAATTTGACTATTGTGTCAGATCAATTCTTTGATTGTGCCTCAAACTTGACTTTATTTGTAGTACAACACTGTAGGGAAATTTTATTATGAAGTTC